TAGATTAAACCTGTAATGGAGCAGATATTCAGTGCACATAAACCAATTTCAAAATGGCTGAAAGTGGTTTGAGATAAACCTGGTTGAATGTAGTATCAGACTTAACTGATTTGGGTCTAACCGGTTTATACAATATCTGTCCCAGACCCTTTGCTAGTTTAAGCTACGCCAGAGTCTCCCAGCATCCTGACATGCTCTCTGGGCTGGGTGGGGCTCTCTGCTTCAGAGCAGGGCTCGTCCCTCCCCTCTGCTCCCTGGCCAGAGCTCAGTAGAGATTTGCAGGCACTGCAGAGTCTGCTGGCTTCCCCATGCCCTGCCCCCCCTCCCCCCCTTGCTGCTTAAGCAGAGATCCTTTCCTCCTCTCTCCCACAGCTCGAACTGTAGCCAGCATGTGGTATGCTAGCTAATGCTGTGTAAGGCAGATAGGACAGTGCCCACTTAGGGCTTTTTGGAGCTAATCAACAGCTCAGATGGTAATGTTCCTGCATTTCTTCCTTTGGAAAAATCCTGTTTAAGAACAGCTTGTAATGGGTGAGGCTTTGTTTTTTGATGGGGTGTTAAATGCTGATAACAAAGCTGGTAAATGCTCTGTTATCAAGGGGGTGGACCTCTACCTAATCACAGTGTCCTGCCAGGGTCTGGCCATGCCCCCTCAGCTCAGCCTTGGGGAAGGGAGGGCTGCTGTGCTGCCCCCAGCTTCTAGCCTGAGCCACTGTAGGCATGTGCCTGCATGTCTGGGATGCCTGTTCGGGTACAAAACTGATTTAGCCTAGCCAGGTTAGACTAACCTGCAAAGATTGAATCAATTCATGCTCAGGCTTCTTGAATGCCTGTCCCTAGCCATTAAGTGCAGTGTTCTCCAAGTTAATCTAGTCCTTTGTTAAACCCTTTTATGTCACTTTTTTTTTAAATGATAGCGGTTTTATTTAACAATCATGTTTTAGGCTACCATTTTCAAGAGCTATGATTTCTTTAAAAATTTAATTTAAAATTTTAATTTTTTACCTGTGTGTAAATACCTAGAACTTCATTGAAAAAAAAACAAAACAATTCTTACTTTTATTGTACTGCAACTAAAAGAATTTCTTATTTTTTTCTATCACAGTCCTCTTCTTTATACAGTGATCCTGTGGCAACTACTAAGAGTTACAGGGTTAGTACAGTGTGAAATAATTGTGTGGCTAACTTTTGAAGTATTCATAGTTTTTAGGTTTGTCTCATTAAAATAATTAAACTTTCCTCTGTAGGTATCTCCTACTGTAAACACTGGTTTGATAAGAAGTACCAGTTTGGTTCGTAAGCACTATTTGCATGGTTGCCTTAATTTTGTATTCATATGCAGCTGGAAAGTAACATATATGCAGTTTTCCCATATTTTTAGATACAACTTGCATGGCCCAGATAATAGCAAATGTACAAGAATATATAATCCAAAGAAATTTTTTCAAATTGTACTAGTCATTTCCCCCTGACCCCACTCTCCTCTTCCCCTCCACGCAGTCTTTATTAGAGGAAAACAGGGCAGGTGGCTTTTCTTTGTGTGTGTGCACCCCCTCTCCCCTTTTGGATATATCACAGATATAAAATCTGGTCTGTCCTGTCCTTGTTTTGCTGGAGGATTTCCAGGAGATGGTAAAAGGGATGTGTGGCTCTGAACCAAGCTGCTTTTATCCAAATTTTAATTAGTCATCCAAGCAAAAATGTGTGGTGCTATTTGTTTTTTAAGTAGCACTTAAACAAAATCCATTCTTTTCCAATAAGATAGCATTCACTTTTGACTTCGACATCACCATTTCATTGGGTCCCCAATTCTGTTTAATATCTTTTAATTATTCTTTCTATTGCTTCAGTTGTTAACGCTTTCCATAAATCACTTGGCCTAGATACATTATATGGGATCTTAATCTCATCTTGGTTACACATTTACCTCTTCCAGACTTCACCTAGCCAAAAGTACAAAACAAACAGACAGGGTGACTTGATTGCTATGTTAATACAGTTTAGTAATTGTAACTGCACAATGCAGGCACATTGGTCTAATAGAATTAAACTCATTTTTTTAGACAGCACCTTCATCTTTCTCCCTATTCCTAATCTTCTCTCTCCAATGAATAATCCAGATTCTGTAGATTAAATTAGCATTTCAAATGATCAAAGATAAGGGAAAGCCATGATTGTGTCCAAAAGTTTTTCTTGTAGTCATTTTAATGGAATACAACTACGAATAAAAATCCTAAATATGAAAATCAGTCTTGGATTACTTTTTTTCTCTTATGCATGTTACATGTTCCTCTCAATGATGGGTTTGCTTTAAAAGTTTGGCTCCTGGCAGTGTTGGAACTTGGTTTGTAAGATGTCTGTATATACTTGGTGCCTAAAGAATTTAAACTTTGATGGATTCCCTTGAAATAACAGTTACGAAAATGTAGGTATTATCATGTGGAATCCATTTATATTTAGGGATTTTATACCTATCCATAAAGATTATGTTAAAGTACGTTAGCTTCACATTAAAGTTGAACTTGGTAAAGACAGACAGTCAGGCAAGAGTCAGCATCTCTGAATCTTAGAAAATCTGATGAATCCTTATTGAAAAAATCTTCAGGAGAAAAGCACTGACTTGCAGAAATCAAGAAATGTCCTTAAAGTGTTTTCTAGTAACAAGACTCCATATTTAGATTTGGTAGTAGTTTAAGGGAAATTCACATAACCTAATGTGGATAGAAAGGTATCCACAAAAATGGCTAATTTCTTTAAAACTGTAGAGAAAGAAGTTTTATTCAAGCAAGCAAGGAAAAAAATATCACTTGCTTCTTCCTGAAATGTTATACTTGTTCCTGCCACATGTAATAGTGAAGTGAACGATTAGAGAATTAAAAAAAATTATAACAAGTATCGGGTTTGATCAGTTAGGCCCCATGTTACCATTATTATTGATGATGATGATAATTTTCCACCAAAAATTGACTGGTACATTTAGGTAAATTTATGAGATTTCTACTTGGAGAGAGAAAATTTCCTGAATGGTAGGAGAAAATAATATGTAAAGGGAATATAAATTTGCCAAGTCCTTCCCTTCAAAAAGTATAGTCTTCAGAGAAAGATGCATGAAAAAAATAATTTTGTTAAAGGTGATTCTGTAGTAGAATCATTACAGTGCATGAAATGATAACATTTTAATTACTGTTGTCACTGTAAATATAAACAGTATTCTATTCCCTCTGTTTCCCAGGCGTCATTATGTGGTGATGGATTATATAGCTCATATAATTCTCGTACTGTAAGTCTAAATGGATTTATTGTTTTCTTTTTTAAAACTTGCTTTATGAAAATATATAGTTGATTAATTATAAAAACTTTTTCCTAATAACTTTGTCTATAGCCATCTGAATACAGTTATTACTCTTCAAGAGCAAGCTCAACTCGAAGTAGTCCTGTGGTGAGATCTCATTTTGCATGCTTGCAGTATAATTGTGGTACTCTAATACAGTCATCTTGATGAGCGTTTGCAATGTAGATTTATTCTTTAGACTAACACATGAGCTGTAAATTTCCATTATTGCTTCAGAAAAATTAATGCATGTCAGATATAAAATTCTAATAAAAGCAATGAAGTTTGAAGTAACTGTGTAGAACTAAGATTTAATTGAAGAATGTTTATCTTTTAATTTATACGAAAATGGTACGTAAAATACTGTCAGTATGACAAGAGACTATTCCAAAAATTTAAAGACATAAACTTATGATGCATTTTATACTGATGTCATAGGAAAGACCAGGAAACTGGCAGAATCATTCCTACCTCTGCATGGAGTACATGACGCAAGACAAAGAGCAGTGGCATGTTTTGGTTGTCTGCCTCTGATAAGAAGTACCTGGCCCAGCTCACTGGCTGTCAGTGTTAAAGACTGAGAAAGAGGCTACATATAGGCGTTCAGTTTCTCTTGGGAAAGTTGCTGCTCTCCTGTGAGAAACAACAAGAATACAGATGCTCAAGATTTTCCTCTCAGAGAAAAAATAGCCACTCCAGGAGAAAAATATCCTGGGAACAATGAGGGTTGAAACACTCTCTGTTTCTCCTAGGAGAGCAAATGTCTGTACACGTTCTCTTTTGAGAAAATCCATTGAACAGTCCTCCAGCATCCTAGAGAGCTTTGCTTCTGCCTTGTTCCATCCCTCCTACCGCGCCACAGGAGACATTGTCACTTGCTGGATTCTGCTGCTTTACCCCCTTCACAATCCCACACTGTGCTGCAGGGAGACAAGCTGACCCCAAGAACCCTGTATTAGCCAGACAGTCTATACACTGCTGCCATCTGTCTGCAGGCAGACTGAAGGAGTCTGCAGAGCATGCTGAGTTGTGTGCACAGGGGCTGGGCCCCCTGGCTGTGTGGTGTCAGTAGTGCAGGCTCTCTGCTGTTCAAGAGCTTAGCACTCTTAATATTTTATTTGTTAGATGTCTCTTGGTTACATTTACTACCTGGGAAACAAACCTGGGAGAATTCACTCAGTTCATTTGAACTTGTGTAGTGCAGCCAGAGTTTCCTGTCAGTGAAATGCAAGGGGAAATGCAGGTTGCAGGTAAATTGTGGTAGTTCTCTTAGACAATAATAGAGGAGTCCAGTTCCAGTGAGATCATAAACATTTTCCTTTTGAAGCATTACAGTATCATTGGAGTGACACTTGTACCTAACTGTGCCTGTTAACAGATGTTCCATTTGGCAGTGGAAATTTTTTACCAGAAACTGTGGTCTGAGGAGCAAGCAGGGGTATCATGGTGTTGCTCTCTCCATTTGGCTTCTGGTGGCAGGGAGCCAAGCAGCTTGGCAATTCCCCCCCCATCCCTGTCCCCTGCCTGTGCCTCAGACTAGGGACTCCGCTCTGAGCTGCAGGCAAGGAGCAAGTAACTGTCTCTCTTTTACTGGGCTCCTGGTGGCTTGGAGCAGAGTAAAGTTAGCCATGCAGGAAAACCCATCCCTCTCATTGGACCCGGGATCCCAGGTTGAGGAGCAGGTGAGGGCTCTGCCCTGCTGCTCTAGTTCCCTCCTGGTCTGATCCTGGAGGGGAGCCATAAGCATTCACTCTTGCAAGAGAAACTGTCACAAGGGAGATCTAGGTTGAGAGTTGGAAGCTCTTCTCCCAAAAAGGGCTGGTTCCCTCAAGAGAAATTGAGTGAGCAATTCTGTGCTTATCAAACCATGAATTTCTTAGTCGAAATGTAACACCTCTATGTGACCAGTACCTGAAGGAGCTTCAAACTTGTTAGTCTGTATTTTTCAATGATGTGTTTTATATTTTACAGCTAGATGAGCTGCATATAATCTGAACTAGGTTAGCATGAAAATGAAGATGCCCTTGACTTTGAAGATGCAGTGCGCTTCATTTGAGAAATGTTTTATAGCTCAAATTGTTGCTAATATAACCTCTCCCTGTCCTTTGTCACAGGGATCCTGGTTTTCTCTGTTTAAAAATCACAAATTCTCTGATTTTAACAGCCCTGCCCTCCCACAAATCACGTCCCCACAACCACCCACCAAAATATGCATTTTTCCATGATTAAAGTGAAATGCCACTATAGATATGGAGAGATACAGGTATCAGTTGAACACAGTGTTTTATTGATATAGTTACAATTTTAAAGCAGTTTGGAAGCCTACTAGTCCCTTGATCATTATAATAAAATTAATTCTAAATACCTATACATTTTGGCATTTGATTTTGGGATTTTTATCATGGAAAATAAGAGTTCTCCCTGCCTCCTTCGCACACCAGGATGTGGGTCCAGCTGTGGCTGTTCCCCTCCCCCCACCCTGCTGCTTTATGGTGCTGAGCAGCCCTAATATGCCAGTGCCCTGTCTCTGCCCATGCTGGTGCCCTTCACTCCTGACCAGCTGTCCCCCCAGTATGTGAGGAAGGAAGTAGGTATGTGGGGAAGCTGGTGAGGTGGGGGAAATGGGACATGGGCAACATAGTGGGGATGGCACGTGTCCTCATGTTTTCTGTGCCCACACAGTGGGGCTCAGGGCTGCAGCCAGACCAGTTCTGGGTAGTGGTTGTCTCCATGGCCCAGTGGGCAGTACCCAGAGCGGGAGGGAGTGCTGTGCCACTGTGGTGAGGTGGATCAGTGGCAGCGGCACAGAGTTGTGAGGGAATCTCAGGGGTCACATGCCTTCTTTGGGAAATCTCAGGGGGCATCTGCCCTTCCCACCCCCAATGCATTGCCTGTGCTCCCCCCCACCCATCACATGCCCTGTGCTCTTCTGCCCCCCCACCAATAGATTTACCTGGAGAGAGCTGCAGAATTGGCTCTTGGCTGCTTTTTGGCTGCCATGTGCATGTGTACGCCTACATGCATGTGGTACCCCCTTCTTCGTTGCCTTCCGTTCCCTGCAGCCCCTTTCAGGCTGGAACTGTGGCAGCCTGCAAAGGGAACCCACTGTTACCCACCTTTTTCTCCTTTAAAGGGGGAAAATCATGATTTTTCTCCTGTGTTGAAGGAGAAAATCTGCGTTTTTGTGCAGCAAACAGAAGACCCAGATCCCTGATAATTAATAACTCCAAATATTTTAATGCTACCAAGCTCTTCCATGATTGAGGGCAGCAAGCTTGTAAGATAATAAGGCTCATGGGAAATAATGTTCATTGCTTGGTCAAAATGGAAGATAAATATAACTGTAGTTGTATAACTGTTGGTATCACACTTTCATTGTCAGTAGATGTCCATATACAAAGGATTATAGTTTTCTTGCAATACCTATCTGGAGAAGAGGGGGGATTAGGAGGAAAGTGGTTTTATTTTTAAATAAAAATATTTTAATTGTTAATATTTTAACGATTAAATCTAATTTTTAGTTGCAGCAATGTGAAATGTATTTTAGGAAAAAAAAAATGTTTCTAAACTACCGTGAAAAACGTTTTGCATGGTGTTTTGGATAGGCATAATAAAAACAGGAGATATCAGTATTTTATGACGTGGATGATTTGTGTGTCTGCCTTTTGTGCATTTCCAGTAAATATTAAACTGTTCTATTTATTTTAGCTTTAACTTTTCTATTTATTAGACAGATTTTAAAAAGCCAGTTTAGTTTATTAGGGAGTGGAGGACTGCAGGCAAAACAGTCTTGTTAACAGCAGTTAAAAGTAGCCTTAAAAGTATTGGGCAGTAAGCGTCAGAATACTTCCCTTTTTTGTTGGTTCATAATCTGTAGAAAATTTAATTTGTAAAGGCTTTGTTTTTGTTAACTTACATTCTAAGGCAAAAAAGAGCAATGAAGATCAGACTTGAAATGTCTTGGATATCTTTCTACTTTATTGTCCTTTGATGAAAGGGTTGGAATGCTGAAACCTTAACAAAGAGCCTCTTAACCTGAATTTATAATGAAGAATTTAAGCTTAAGTGAATATTGAACAAAAGGGAAGCTTTGTTCACACTCTAACGTACTTCTTGTAACTCTGCATTTGCTTTGTGACCCTTCTGGTGTTGTCAGTTGTCCTAGAGGCTTCCAGGCCTACATTTCTAGTTCAGAATAAATTAAATAAATATTTGTACCTCTTGGAGAGCAAGCATTCCTTCCCTTCATGAATCACCACTGATGTGAGAACACTGGCTAGAACAAAATCTCTATATAAAAAGGGCCTAGGCTGTCTGTCTGTCCGTAATGCTCTTGGGGGTGTGGCTCCAGCCAGTGCTGCGTGAGGGTTGAATTGCCCGACAGGAATGACGGCGGGGATGGAGCGGGGCGAGGGGCAGCGGGGGGAGAGAATGACAGCAGGGAGGTGAGGCCAGGAGCGGGGACAGAGGGCCACACGGGGGAGATGAGGCCATGACAGGGATGGAGGGGACAGAATGGGTGGGTCAGGCCAGCACTGCTGGCCTTGCTGTCCCTCATCCCCCCCGCGCCCCCCCCAGTCTGCTTCTTGGAGGCAGCAGCGGTGTGGGGTGGTGGCAGCGTCGCGCTAGCCTCACCCCTCCCCTCCTCTCCACCCAGTCTGTTTCATCCCCACCACCATTCTTGATGGGCAGTTCTCTAGTAAACAAATAATCTGTTTTGTATCCCGTTATGATTGTTGCAAAGATAACTTGTGGTAAAGCCCATAACACATAGGAGGCCTTTTTGATAGGTGAACCGTGTGTGTGTATAATATTGCCACCTAATTTGGTCTCTTTTCTTTATCTGTCTGCCTGAAAGTCTGTCTTCATGTCAGCATGACTTTCATTTTATGTTATTTTCGGTTCTTGTTGTCTGCTAGAATTTAATAGTTACCTCATTTCTTTAAATTGAATTTATACAGAGAATTATGCCCACTTACTGACATCACAAAAGTTACTTATTTAATATAGGCATTTGTTAAATTGCAGTGAACCAGCTTTAATTACTTGCATTTTTAATCCTTGTAGTTTACAGATGATGAACTAGAGAGTACCACATCCTCTCATCATGTGAGCCGAGGGCGGAGAGATAGTGTGGTGAGCTGGGTTGCATGCCAGTGTCTGATGCTATTTATGGTCTTCTAACTTTGTTTGCTTGTTTTTATTTACAATAGCACATGCAATTTCACACTTACAAAGGGTTGCTTATGAAAGAAGGGAAGTAGAGATCACTGGCTATAACTTTCGTACATCTACTGGTTTGAATTTCATATTTTTAGAATTAATGAAGTTCCTTGCTCAACTTAGGTAGAGTTCTGTAGCATGCAAAAAATCTTACTATGTGAATGAATAAGAAAGATGCTTATATCTACAGTGTGGAAATTAATTTTGTGTCCTTTAAGTAGTCTGTTTATAAAGAGATTATAAATATAGGTGGAGCTGGTAAAGTAACCTATGAAGGTGGTCAGCCCTTTGCATTATAAAGCTCTGTCTTTGGTTCTGTTCAGTTGTCTCAAATACTAATTTTTCAGAAATCTGCCTTAGCCATTTTTCTGAAAAGGTCTGTTACCTTGACGTAGCAACGGGGGAGGGCGGATGTGGCAGCGCAGAGTGGCTTTTGTGTTAGGATGCTCATTTTGTGATTGCTCTGAAATACCAGCCACACTGGGTTAAAAAGCACATCTGGAGGAGGGGGTGGGAATCATGGGCCACATGTGGTACTAGAAATCTTTTGAAAATGTAGTTGCTAAATTTTCCGAGGTCCCATGGTTGAGCCAGGACATTCACTGCAATTGTTGCCCTAGGCTATGCTGCTGGGGTTAGGAACTGAACACAAAATAATAAGCTTTTAGGGCCAGGATGTGGGGGAGGCTGTGACTTGGATGAGGAGCCTGAATGCAGATAATAGTACTGAAGGGGTGAAGACTGAGTTTGAAGGAAAAGCTTGAAAATGGGAGACTTGGCCTAGGCTGTTTGAAACTGAGCTGAGGATCCTGGGCATGAAGCATATTTTTTTTTCATTGTACGTGTACATTTAGGCATTGATTCAGGCCTTCAGGTACTACCACAAGAGAGAAATAAAGATAATATTCAAGTTTCTGAGCCTTCTGCTTTCTCAGGCTGTGAACAGGAATTCATTTGTAGTGGTTGAAAATTTCTGTGAAATTTCCTCCACTAGAAGTATTTTTGGGGGCAGGACCAGTATGGATTTTCAGTCTACAGTCACTCCTTCTAACCTGTTCCTCATGCCTTGCTGAGATTGGGGTTATCCCAGGGACAGAAGCAAAATGGACATAAATATAAAATGGAGAGAGGTAACTGAGGCAGAATAATCAGGGTGGGTTATATCAGTGAAATGTTTATCAGTCAACGAGGACTAATGGTTACTTTTAAAAATTATGAAAATTGTCTGAAGTTACATAAGTTTGCCACTTATTTTGAGATTAAATGATCAGCATCAAGGAATGTTGTATTAATGAACATACACTTGCTTATTAAACCCTATACTTGTTATTAACATCAGCTTATATGAATATTACACTTGGATTACCACAGTTTTAACATTGTAATGTGGCTGAATAAATCTTGTTTTATACATGACTTTTCTTTGACAGGCACTCCTTCTGCTTTTCAGTTTAAAGATGCCTTCAGTTGTGAAGCAAAAGCTTATCCTTCTGTAGTAATGCTTTCTTGCTTTGAACAAGAAAAAACTGTATCAGGTTGGGCATTACCAACTTCTCTTGGTACAGTGTTAGGGGCAAGACCTATTTTACATTAATCTGAATAAAAAGTACATTGTTTGCAGTTTAAAAATACAAAGTATTGACTAATCAAAGGGAAAGAATTAGAAGTAAAAAATCTTTAGTAGGCATATTTAAAATACTGACAACAGTAAAAAGAGGAACCTGTTTATTATTGTTATCGTAATTAAATTGCAAAAAGGCCAAAAGAGTTGCAGTAGCATTTGGTGGGGGGAGGTTCCATTCATGCTTTATATTTAAATATAACTGCCTCTTACTCTTGGAAAGGGTTTTTGTGTTCATTCGGTTAATGTTTTCCATTCTGTACTTTGTTCTTTCTTTCCTTCTGTACCTGGCTTTGAAGTCATCTGATTTTTCTGATCAAAGTGAAACTGCAGCTGATTATTTTAGTCGTTCCAACCGTAGGGGAAGTATTGTCTCTGATGTGGATGATATAATTATTCCAGATCTAAATAGCGTGAGTGTAATGCATGTTTCTGTGTAAATCTGTCCTGTGAATGACACATTTGAACATAGATGTTAATTCTGTAGTTGAAAGACACCTGCCTTTAAAAATGATTAATGACGTGTACCTAATAGCAAGAATTTTGTTGCTGTTTTTATAACCTGACAATATTCTTACAAAAATGTGAAAATACTAATCCAATAAAAATAACTTTTTCTTGGCATGCTAGATTCATTTTAAAAGGGTTAAGAAAAGAGTCTGATGGTATGGCGCAACCTCTAACTCTCTAAGGCTGGGGTGGGCATAATGGTGGATCCAGCTGGCAGCCAGACTCTAATTCCCAATGGCCCCTGCCCACATTGCTGTAGCGAGTTTCCATGGAGACCCCAGGAGGGCTGGAGTTGTCATAGAATCATAGAAGTAGGGTCGGAAGGGACCTTGTAGATCTTCAAGTCTGACCCCCTGCCTGGGCACGAGAAAAACTGGGCTCAAATGACTCCAGCCAGGTAGCCATCAAGCCTCTTCTTAAAGACCCCCAGCGTAGGAGCCAGCACCACTTCCCTTGGAAGTTGGTTCCAGATCCTAGCCACCCTGACTGTGAAGTAGTTTTTACGGATGTCTAATCTAAACCTACTCTCCAACAACTTGTGGCCATTATTCCTTGTTATGCCAGGGGGCACTAGGGAAAACAAGGTCTCTCCCAAACCCTTCTGGTCCCCTCTAGTGAGTTTATAGATGGTCACCAGGTCCCCCCTCAGCCTTCTCTTGTGATAGAGCAGGCCTGGGTTTTCCATGGAGAACAACACTGGCAAGGCATGCGGCTGGGCAGGGAACTGCTCCGGGCCTGGGATCTTGCAGTGGTGACAGTGTGGTCTGGAGCCGAGGCAGAGCCGTGATCCACTGCCTGCACACCCTTCCTTCTCCCTTCCAAAAATAAGGTGTTTGTCTTTACTGGGGGGAGGGGTGGTATGTAAAAAAATACGCTATATAAAAGTGCCACTCTCTTGCTCCACAAATCTTTTGTTTTGTCAGCATAGTAACTGCTTGCTCTAGTAACAAAAATGAACTGAAGAAGTTGTCACTATGTGCATTTGACTGTTTGGTATACATGCATCAAAGACTACAGAAGTTCGTCCAGGAGTGTCCATCAAGTCTGTGCTTTGCCCATTCACCATTCTCATGCAGTATCATAAGGGTCTGCGGGCAGTGCAAGATCAACTGTCACTGAATGAAGTGCCAGCATTAGCATCTACCTTAGCTTCTCCTTTAATTGTGTTCTTAGTTTTTACTTTGTGGGGAGGGAAGAGTTCCCTGCCCCTCCCTTATCCCTTCCCTCCCCTCCCCCCCG